TCTCCATGGCAAAGGAAACCAATGAAGTGAGGGGTCAATCACAACAAAACAGGAAAATTTTTTTCAGCTTTTTCTTGGACAGAGGGCTAATACCTAGAATATATAAAGAACTCAAGCGGCTGGGGATTTAGCTCAGCAGCACAGCACCTGCCTGGCAAGCGCAAGGTCATGAGTTCGATTCCCAGTACCGGAAAAATACAAAAAAAAAAAAAAACTCAAAAAATTAAGCCACCCAAAATAAAGGACCAAGCCATCAAAAAAATGAACAACTGAGATGAATAAACACTTCTCAGAAGAAATACAAATGGCCAATAAATATATGGAAAAAATGTTCACTATCTCTGGCCATTAAGAAATGCTAGTTAAGGCCCAGCATGGTGGCACATGCCTGTAAGCTCAGCACTTGGGTGGTTGAGGCAGGAGGATCGTGGTGAGTTTGAGGCCAGCCTGGGCCACAAACTGAGTCCAAGGCCAGCCTGAACTGCATATCAAAACCCAGTCTCAAAAAAGAAAAAAAAAATGCTAATTAAAACAAAACTGAGATTCCATCTCTCTCCAAGGAGAATGCCATCATCAAAAATAAAATAATAACAAATGTTCATGAATCTGCAGCAGGAAAAGGAACCCTTGTACACTGGTGGTGGGAATGTAGACTAATACAGCTATTATTGAGATCATTGTGGAGATTCCTCCAAAAAGTCAAACTAGATATTCCATTTAACCCAGCAATTGCCCTTGTAGGTATCTTCCCAAAGGTTTTAAAAACATGTTACTGTGATAGATACATACCCATGTTTATAAAAGTGCAACTCATAAGAGCTAAACCTTGGTAGTGGCATATATATGTCCATCAATAGATAAGTGGATAAAGAAAATATGGTATTTATACACAGCAGAGTACAACTCTGCTATACAGAAGGATAAATTTCAGTCATTTCTAGGAAAAATGGATGTTTTAAGATGTTCAGTGAAATAAATCAGATCCATAATCTTAAATTTTGTCTTATATGAAAAATTCAAAATATAAAAAAATTCAAAGAGCAAAATCAAAGATAAATAATAAGAAACAGGGAAATAGATCTTTTGCAAATAAGCAGGGGATAAAGAGATTGAGGAAAGGAGGAGGAAGGGAGGGGAAGGGAATAAAAAAAAAGCTGAGGTGTTTTATGTACATGTACCAAGTCCTCATGAGGAAGTGATCACTGTGTACTACAAATGTGGGCTAATAAAAATTGAAAGTAAGAAAGAAGTGTCAACTAATTAACATAAGAAAAAATAATATATGGCCTGGAGGGCTTGCTTGCCTAGCATGCACCCATCCCTCAGTTTGATCCCCATCACTGCAAAAATAAAAAATAAAAACAAAAATAAATAAAAATTTAAAAAAATTAAAAACCAAGAAAATATAGTATCTCTGCACAAAATAAGTTTGGATTGATTAGAGACTTAAATGGGAAATACAAAAGATTTAAACTTATAAAAAGTTCAAAATCCCTGGCTGATCACTAATGTACACATAGATACATGACAAAAAGGGAAAAACTAGAAGGAGATTTGTCCTAGAAAGATAGAACTGCATCTGGTAAGATTTTGTTTTGTTTACTGTGCCCTCAACTGAGTTCATTTCCTGACCCACACAGTGTAGGCAGTAGAAGACAGAAGTCTTATTGGTTTGAGGTATCACAGGATAGAGCTGAGGTCTGGCGAAGCACCTGGAAATTTAGGTGAGGAGCTCCAAAAATAAGAGGACTAACCACCAAATCTGAATATAAATTTGGCTCAAATCCTTGGTAGACTACCAAACTAAACAGGTGCAGGGGAAATCTCCAGAGGGTGAGGCTGATTTAGCAGCAACTAGAAACTCTGGGGGAAAAATACAAGCAAAACTGGGCATGGCAGTGTATTCCTGTAATCCAAACACTTTGGAAGGCTCATGCAAAGGGATTGCAAGTTTGGGCTCAGCCTAGGCAAGTTAGTGATTTAGCAAGATCCTATCTCAAAATTTTAAAAGGGCTGTAGATATAGCTAGGTCCAAAGACACTGTATTCAACCTCCATTAGTGCAAAAATATATATATATATATATATTTTTTAAACAACCAGAAACATCAGCTGCTGCACATCATAGGGCAGATTAGGGAGGGGCACAAAAGATTTTTCAGTTTGAGCTTAAGAAAGTTAATTGCCTACTAAACAATACCCAGAAAAACCAACAATACCCAGAAAAACAAAACAGATTCCAGAGTGCTACACTGTATTTTTTATGATGATCAGTTTTCCACCAATAATTATTAGACATAGACAAGAGAGGAGATAAATGTGACCTATACACTGGAAGAAAAAAAGCAGTACATAGAAAATGACTCTGAGAGGGCCCAGATGTTAATTTAAAGGACAAAGCCTTCAAAGTTACTATTACAAATATGTTCAAAACAGTAATGGAAAATGTGATATTCATGGATGAACAAGTACGATTCTCAACAGATGAATTAAAACTAGGAAAGAAGCAAATGAAATTCTATGATTTTCACAGTAACTGAAATGAAAAATTCACAAGAGGGGCACCATAACAGATTAAGGATGACGGAAGGCAGAATTAGGAATTTTAAGTTAGAATTATCCAAGAGAAAGGACAGAAAAAAAAATTGAAGAAAAGGTAATAAAATTCCAGGAACTTGAAATACAACATCAAACAGTCCAACATGGATGCAATTGGGAGTCCCAAAAAGAAGAGAGAAAGAGACAGATTTTTTTCTCTTGGTAGTACTGGGTATTGGCTTTCACAGTAAGCTATGTCCACAGCCCTTTTTCTATTTTTTTATTTTGAAGCAGGGCCACTAGACGGCTAAATTGCCCAGGCTAGGCTCAAATACAATTCTCTTGTCACGTCCTCACAGAGTGGTAAAATTACAGGTGTGTATCACCGAGGCTGGCCAAAAACATATATATATTTTGAAGAAATAATGATTGAGAATTTCCCAAGTATGGTGAAAAATATTCATTTATAGATCCAAGAAGCTTAATGAACATGAAACCAAATAAACAAAGAAAATCATACCTAGGTACAATTTCTTAGCCAATTAAACCTTAAGATCCAGCCATTCTATTCCCAGAGAAATGAAAACATATGTCCACATACAGATTTGTACCCAAAGGTTCACTGCAATTTTATTCATGCAATTTACACGATTTCTAGATTTAGAAGCATGTACATAGGTTTAGAAATCATGTAAATTGCACTGGGCAAATGAATACACATCCTGTAATATGACATCCTACTGAGCAGGAAACAGGAATTGTTCAACCACGTGGATGAAGCTCGTGTCAGCTGAATGGACTGAATGGACAGCGTGTCAACTGAAAGAAGTAAGACATACAAAAGAAAAAGTCACCTTGTGTGATTCCATTTATTTGAAATACTAGAAAAGTTAATGTGATGACAGCTGACCCTGGTTGTCTTCATCAGAGGTGGAGTGAAGGCCTTGGAAAGCCTAAGGGGCTTTCTGAAAGCTTTCTTAGAAATGTTATCATGAGTGTGGTGGTGATTACACAACTGTGTGCATTCTTCTCAATGGATCAAACCGTATCTACAGAGTGGGGGAATTCTGTAAGCATATTATGGCCCAAAGCTGTTAATTTTTTTAAAATGTTTAGGGGACATTAAAACATGTGAAAGGCTAATTTGTCACAATGTATAGCACTTGCTCTTTTGATGCCACTAAACCCACGAAAATTATCACAGAATGTGATCATATTTTGAAATAAGATCTTTATCAAGGTAACGACCTTAGAACTAGGTTATTAGGTTGGGCCCTAATCCGTTTTGACCTTGTAAGATGAAATTTAAGCACAGATCAGCAAAGAGAGAAAAAACAGAGGACAGCCATTGACAAACCCAGGACAAGCCCCAGAATAAATCCAGCCCTCACAACCCTCAAGAAGACTCAAACTTGCTGACATCTTGAGCTTCTAGCCTCCAGATCGATGAGGAAATAAGTTGTCTGTTTAAGTCACCCAAAGTGCCCTCTTTTGTTATAGCATCCCTGGCAAACTCGTACAAACTATAGATATTAAAACAGCTTGGGCAGGTCAGCACCTCACTGAAAAAGTGAGCCACATTTGGCAAGATATGATGGAGAGCCAAATAAAAGTGAAAATAATAGAAATTATTGATGCTTAGAAAAGGGT